ATTATAAGCCTTGGATTCCAGTGTGAGCACCGCCATTAATTTGCCCTGTGATTTCGCTGTTTTAGCCTATCTTCATTGGTGAAAGGGATAATAATAACTTTAACCAACCTCACAGAAATGTAATAAGGAGAAAAAACAATGCATGTGGAAGTTATCTGAAACACTAAAAGGCCAAATATAAACGTAGGTATTAGTTTTACAAGGGCCTGGAATTACTCAACCTTTTGGGTTTCTAACTTAAAGCTTGAAAGAAAGCTATGTCCTTTTGCTCCTAATTTGGGCAAAAGATACAAAGCATCCCACTTGGACTTTTCTCCTACTTCAAGCATTTGGCTTGCAGAAGACTTTTGTCAGCCAGCTACCAACTCATAAAGTTGAAAGGGGAAATCTGAACTCCACTCCGAGTCAGGGGTGTCGAGGTGAAAAGAACAGGAAATGTCATTGGAACTTTCCTGGTCTCCAAGGGGAAACTGGGCAGGACCAAATACAAAGATAAGTACAACCACACAGCCTGTTAGACCACTGCAGAGAATCCATTTCAGTTTAAAGTTGGATGGCAGCAGAGGTGACTTGACTCTACATAAAGTTAATCTAGGAGCAGAGTCAAAATTGCTGGGATAGAAATTACACGAGTTTTGCCTCAATCATAAGAGATAACATGCGAAGTGTCTTCCTACCTTGGAGGCTTGCGTCATATCCATGATGATTCCTCTGCCCAGAGGACCCCTTTTTGCTTCCCCTTGTTGTCCGTTTTTGTTTTTTTGTTTGCTTGTTTTTTTGAGACAGAATCTTGCTCTGTCACCCAGGCTAAAGTACAGTAGCGTGATAGCGGCTCACTGCAACCTCTGCCTCCCGGGTTCAAGCGATTCTCCCGCCTCAGCCTCCTGAGTAGCTGGGACTACAGGTAAATGCCATCATGCCCAGCTAATTTTTGTACTTTTAGTAGAGACAGGGTTTCACCATGTTGGTGAGGCTGGTCTCAAACTGCTGACCTCGTGATCCACCTACCTCAGTCCCCCAAAGTCCTGGGATTACAGGTGTGAGCCACCATGCCCAGCTCCCTTGCTGTCCTTTTTAAGGAGGTCCTTCTTAGGGACGTATTTCCAGCCAGCACCGCTGCCCTAACTCAATCCAGATCATGTCCAGTGCAAAAACCCAGAGCATCCTGCATTATTCCAGTGTGCGCATTGATCATTGGAATGATCAGTTCATTATTTTGACAGTTTGACTGTTGTTCTCTTCCCCCTCCTCTAATCAGCTCCCTGAGGACAACAACTGTTTGATTTCATAGTATCCTCAGAGTGGAGCAGAATGCCTAGCTCAGAGCGGTCCCTTGTTAAATATTTATTGAATGAGTGATGAAAGAAATACGATCTGAATAGAACGCCAAAGAAAATTATCTCAGCTCTTACATCATTTCTAGGTAGGTATATTCATGTAAATGTGTGCTATTTACAATAAAACTCTTAATTTACTGTTGCTCCGGGAAAGCATGTTGCAAGCAGAGGAAAATCATACAATGAGGGGTTAAGAAATCAATTATCATAATTTAGTAGTAGGGAAAGGTGTTGCACATCCTGAATAAGGGATCCTTAAGGACTAGACAGTTTACAAGGTCTCAACTACCCATGCCTAGACATTTCGAGGAAGGGCCATGAAAAGGGCAGAGCCATCACTTCTCAGGTTTGAAGGCACAAGCCACAGTCAGCAGACATCAGAGAAAAATTTCCTTCTGGGCCTGTGTCATGTGATAGAACAGACGGTTGCATGATGGAGCCACTAAGTCTTTCTCAAGTTATCAAGACAGCGCCCAGAGACACAGGTAAAATAGCAGCCAGTTTTGCCATGCTCTGTGTACTTTCTTCTGTTCTAGCAAGTTGAAAAGTATGGCTAATTTGGCATTCATTCATGTGAATGCAAATAAATCAGGAAGAGAAAATGTTCAAAAACTGTCATTCAAGCTCTGCAGTGCGATAAAGAAGTTTAAGTTCTTAATCTTTATCCTTAAGCCCCTGCATTTTGCAAAAAGATAAGTCCCCTTCTCTGTTACATTTTTTTCACTCACTCTTGTTCTCAACACATTTGGTGCCATTTTTTAACAAAATGAGGTTTTAATTTTTGCACTGTGGTCGTTCTATGAAACATAGCATTAAATTCTATCTTCCTCACTAAGTGGCTTGAGTTTGACTTTCTGGCAGCTCAATCTACCCCATTTATTTGTGTGTTGAATCTGAAAAAAAGAATGAGGATGCTGAGTAATGAAGATTGTGTCTTTTCTGGGGCTTTTAAAGCTATAGGGTTTCTATCCTTTCCTTCGAAAGATTGTACACAATATATTACGTGGCAAATCAAAATGAATTAAGTAAAACGGAGAGATCAGAGAAGAAATAAAGAGGTGCCAGTTTCTGTAGAGGTTCTTTCATGGATGATGCTTTGGGCCTATCGATTTGGAAAGAAAAATTCATATACATAACTTCACCAATGTTTTATTTTATATACAATCTATGTTGTTCTTCTACTGTGTCCTACCTAATATTCTGCAAATTCTAACTATTTAAAGATAGATAGAAATGAAACCATTTAAATGCTGCTTAGTAATTTCAAAATAATAATAAGCAGGAGACTTTCTCTTGTGTCATCAGCCATTTAACCCCCTATACTTGTGCCACTGCTCCTGCTACTACTAGCAGAAATCCCAAACACTCAAATAATCAAAACCCAAAGAGGTTTATATTTTTTCCATTTCATATTCAAAGCCCATCTCAAGCTATGAACTGCCTTCATTCCTGAAATTGTTTGAAATTCATTAATTTTATTTTTCCTTTGGGAGAGTAAGAACAAGTCATGATGGAAGAGGAAAATGTCATTTGTTTCCTTCTGTGGAATCTCTCCCTTACTCCATTTAGTTGAAGCTGGGAGTGCAGACCTGGGTCTACTCCATTCTGGGGAGGAGTTAGCTTTTTTCTGCTCAGAGAAAATGTTCTATGCAAATTTAGCAAAAGAATGGGTGAATGAAAGAATACAATTTTCTGTGTGGTGGCTCATGCCTGTAATCCCAGCACTTTAGGATACTGAGGCGAATGGATCACTTGAGGTCAGGAGTTCAAAACCAGCCAGGCCAACATGGTGAAAACCCATTTCTACTAAAAATACAAAAATTAGCAGGGTGTGGTGGCACATGCGGGTAATCCCAGCTACTCAGGAGGCTGCGGCAGGAGAATTGCTTGAACCTAGGAGGGGAAGGTTGCAGTGAGCCGAGATAGTGCCACTGCACTTCAGCCCAAGTAACAGAGTGAGACTCTGTCTCAAAATAAAAAAATAAATAAATAAATTACGATTTTCACTGTATTAAAATGAATCATTTTCATCCCATGGTTTTACTACAATTTGAAATCCACTGTCAATCGGGCTTTGCAAAATAGGTTTTATGCCTCCCTACGAAGAAATAGATCATAACAGAAATGTGGCTTTTGAAGAGCTTAGAAAAAAGGAGCCTGTGCTGAAGCAAGCTTTACTTACCATATCTTGTCTGAGTAACACTTAGAAGCTTCCCCGTGAGTAGAAAGGATCATTTTGGATTGTGAGGCAAAGTAAGGTGTTCACAGCAACAGATATGTTTAAAATGTTTCATTGAGGCTGAGTAATGACCTGTCTCAATCAAAGTATCATTGACAGCCTTCTTGTTCCATCATCACAGTGTTATGGAGATATACCATGACTTAGGGAGAAATCTTTGCTTTCATCTGATTCGCGGTGAATCTTGTCTCTATATTGTTCCTTTGTTTTTACTTTTTTTCTCTCAGTGATTATGGAATTTTCTCTTTGGTTTCTCTTCAAGGAGTCCTCGTGTTTAAGGGGTGAGGGAGTGGTTAGCTACTTCAGCCTACTTTAATAAAAGTGCCAAGCTCCTGGCTTTCCCGTGGTGTAGCTCTATCCAACACGGAGGTAGAGCTTAATTGCACCATGTAGATGTGTGTGCCTGCCGGTCAGGGACCGCGGTAACTGCCATCCCTCACATGTGCGGTGTGCGCTAACAGGATTCCCCAGAGACTGGTGACACCAAGGCAAGGTAAACGCTGTTTCATGTTAAATAGAAGCTCAGGCTCCCTTTAAAGTCAAACTTAAGACCCTTTAGGCGCAGATCAATGCTCTTTTTCAAATCTTGAAAAATCTTGAAAAAGACCCTTTAGGCACAGATCAATGCTCAAGAATGTTGTCAATCACACGCAACTTCCTTAGACATTTCACGGATATGTTATTTGCGCTCAAGGAGGGGCCTCCTTGCACCCCCCCCCCAACATCCAAATCTTTGCTCTGTGCTGCGGACTCAGTGGGGGCTTGTCGGATGAGCCTCTGGGAAAACATTCGTCCCCTCATTTCTTCTTGTTAACTACGGTTACCCTGAGAGAACGCTTCCCTGTCCCTCTGGGGCTACCTCTGTGGTGCCCTGACCTGCCTCTCTAATAGAAATTCTCTACCTGTTCCGGAGATTTCCTGGGATTCCCGGCTTCCCAGCTCCCTGCCTGCAATCAGAATTATCCGCCGGTCCCCACACCCAAACTCTGGGACAGCAGTGGGGCTGCACTAGCCATTAATGGCCATCATCTATTTTTAATCGGAAGATCACAAGAAAGATGATACGCAAATCCCAGTCGCAAGTCAATTTAAATAACATTCCTGGGGAAATCCAATCACTTAAAAAGGAGACACCTACGCGAGCGAGAGCCCCCGCCCGTCTGGCGGGCCTAAGCGGGAAGGCTGAGTTAATCAAGATCAAGGGGCCCCCGGGCTAAGAGAGGAGCGTTAACCCTTCCAGTCCCAGAAAGAAACTAGGCAAGGGAGGAAAGACGCGGCCGGCGTGGGCCAAGATGCCCGCGGCAGCCCCGCGCATGCTGCCTCTGCCATTTAGAGCGGCTCCAGACGCCTCGCACCCGGCCAGGGCGGTTGGGCGCGCGAGGTTAAGGTCAGAAGCTCGGGAAACTGCTTGGGCCGCGAGTAGCCGCCGCCTCCCGCAGCCTCTGCGCGCCGCGGGCTCCTCCTCCCGCCCAAGCGTGGCCAAGTGAGGACTGCTCCGGCCGCAGGTAGCTGAGGCGTGGGAGGCTGCGCGCTCGGTACCCGAGCGGAGCGCCAGGGAGGGGCCGACGGACGTGCGGGCGGACGGACTCCCCAGCCTCCCTTCCCGGACGTTAGCCGCGTTCTGCGCGGGCCATGTGGGGACCCGGGGTCACGGCCGAGGGCCTGTCGGTGGCTCCGGCGCCGCCGCCTTTGCTGCCGCTGCTGCTGCTGCTGGCTCTGGCGCTGGTGGCGCCCTCGCGGGGCGGCGGGGGCTGCGCGGAGCTGGCGTGCGGCGAGCGGGAGCGCTGCTGCGACGCGACCAACGCCACGGCTGTGCGCTGCTGCAAGCTCCCTCTGCACGCCTTCCTGGACAACGTGGGCTGGTTCGTCCGCAAGCTCTCCGGGCTGCTCATCCTGCTGGTGCTCTTCGCCATCGGCTATTTCCTGCAGCGCATCATCTGCCCCAGTCCACGGAGGTACCCGCGCGGCCAGGCCCGCCCGGGGCAGCGGCCCGGGCCTCCGGGGGGCGCCGGACCGCTGGGCGGCGCGGGGCCGCCCGACGACGACGACGACTCGCCAGCTCTGCTGCGCGACGAGGCTGCCGCCGGCTCGCAGGACTCACTGCTGGACAGCGGCGGCAGCGGCCGGGGCCGGGGAGGCTGCGGGCGCTCGGACCCCTCCTGCACCTCGGAGCACGAGCTGCGCGTAGTGTCGCCGGCCTTCCTGCAGCTGCCCAGCTACGAGGAAGTCAAGTACCTGCCCACCTACGAGGAGTCCATGCGGCTGCAGCACCTCAGCCCCGGGGAGGTCGTGCTCCCAGTGTCGGTTCTCAGCCGCCCGCGAGGCGGGGGCGCAGCGGAGCCCGACGGCGGCGAGGGCCGCTTCCCCCTCATCTGAGCGCTCGGGGATCGGCGGCTGGTGCAGGGCTGGGGGCTGCGGGTGGCACGCAACGGCCGGGGTGCCGCCGCCGCCGCCGCCAACTGCCTCAGACCCTATCTGGCACCCCGGCCTAACTGCCCGGCACCTCAAGACTGGGTTGTGGTCACTCGTCTCCCTAGCGTTCTCCCGGGAGGTTAGGTTTCCCTGCGTTTCATTCCGTTGAAAGAAACGTGGGGCACGCGCGAGGCTGCGGCTGCAGCAGGCGACCCCCGAACGCACCTTCGAAGGACGTCCCCGCCCTCTGCCTTACCTGGTCCTGTGGTTCACTCGTAAGTGCCTGCTTCCCGAGTCGAAGAGAACACGTGAGCCCTTTGGTGCGTCGGGAGAAGGGCGGTCTTCTTTAGGGCTGAGGAGAAAGCGCGGTTCCACTCCTTTCCCTACCTGCCATTTGGACAGGTCACGGTCTCCCAGGGTGGGCACAGGGCGGGGAGCTGTTCGGGACGAGCCGCGACCCGGGACTGCTGCGCGTGGGTGTGGAGAGCGGCACTTGGTATGATGGACTCGTTCCCATGCAGCGGACCCCCAAAAAACCCCTCGATGTCTTCCTGATCCAGCAAATAGTCACAGCTGGTGTTTCACAATTAGCTGGAGTGCGGGGAGTGGGGGAGGGGGAACACCTGTGATACGCGGTTAGTTGCTGTACATACTGAGGGCGCAGCAACTACGTATATCCATTCGGCTGGACTTTTGATTGTTCAATAATTGAGAAGGTATTTCTATTTATTTGTCTTTTCTTCTAATATTTTTACCATGCATTGAACGCAACAGGAGGGTATTTCAGCAAATTCATGGCAAGGTAATCGTCTTATCACTTTTTGTAGGCCATTAATGGTCAGGAAATTGCCCACACTCTGTCATTATTGTTTAATAAAACGTTGGACATTATTTCATTAAAAAAGATAAACAGAGGTATGGTCAAACAAGGAAGCATATTTGACATAATAAACATGACGGATATTTTCACTATTTGAGAAGAATATATTTTATTTTTAGTACTGTGACATAATATATAACTTTTTATAATAATAACTGTATGCATTATGTAGTATAGTGCTTAATTGTATCATTCACCACATAGTTATATGTAAAAATAATTGACAGGTACATGCCACTTCATGAAACATATGATATGCATTTTCGCCTCCATTTTTCATTGGGAATACATTCCACAACATGATCCAAAACATAAACACTTGTGACTTGTAACTTTTGTTTAAAGCCATTAATTGTGCAGTAATGTGCTACAGAAGGATTTGATCTGCTTCTCTTAAGAAACAAATGTGATTGTATCAGTTTCCTGTTCTGTGACATACCCTTTAAAAGTAAAAGGTAATATAACATTTTAATACATTGTGTGTAATGTACATATGCATATTGTCTATGTACTGTATACACATTATTTATAATATTGTATTACAGTTTATCATTCTCATGAAAGGAGAAGAAGGAAAACAAATACAAAAGGTTTCTCTGCTTGAGAAAACGTGAATGTTATATCAAAAACAATTACACACATGGATCTTATACATGTTTTTAGAACATTGTTCTTCTGATTAAAGAAGTCTGACACTCCTGAAAAAACCTTAAAATGTCTGACGTATTAGAAGAAAATTATTTGATTAAACTTCTAAAGGCTGGTTGAAAAAGTCTGACATTTCTGAGAAATTTTAAAATGTAATAAAAAAATGGTTAAATTTCTAAAAACTAATGACCCTATGACTAAAGAAAAATCATTTCAAGTGTATTAAAACACAGTAAAACATTAAAATATTTTCTCTGTGCAAATTTTATCAGATGTGTGGCTATATGGTAGTATATCAAAATATGAAATATGTATTTGTTATTTAAAGCAATTTGAGCTGTGAATTGACAAAAGTATCAGAAGATGAGGCTATATCAGTTCAGAATGGTACAAAATTTAATTACATTATAGAGATAATCACATATATTAATGTTACTCAAATACCGTAAATTTTTGTTACATGTGGCTATCCATACTACTCACCATTCAAACAAACTGGAAAGTTGCCATATTTTAAAAAATGATTTATTCTTTGAGGTTACACTGTTTTAGACATTTCACAAATGTTACCTGTATCTGAAACATCAACCTAAATATCCAAATACCTGTACCAGCATAAGAAGCATAGTCTATATGTAGTTACTGTAACATCTTAAAGAAATTCAACAAAATTCTATAAAAATACTTACAATATGGATCAAGTATATATCTCTTTTATCAACTATGGAACATTTCTCTCCTTAAAAACCTAGAATGTCTATAAAGTAGTATACACTTGATACTAATCGCACAATGAGGTTCTATTGAATTTTAAAATAACAGGTTTTCACCTGTCTTTTTTACCAGCCCAACCCACAAGCTTTTATTCACTTCCCTCAGTTCAATAGAAATGAATTTGACTCTGCTGTGGGGTGTTTTTTTGTTTGTTTTCTTGCAATCCACTGATTTACCAAGGACAATTTTGTTCAGGCATAATTCTGTGGAAAAAAATTCTTTAAAACACTGTTTTTATTAGTGATAAATGAGCATGTCTCCTGGTAATACATATACATATAACAGCCCATATTAACATACACAGAACCTGTGTGTTTATAACGCTGAACTGCCTGGATGGAAACATTTTTAAAGCAGTAAGGGCAGTATCTAGGTGTTAAGTTTTATAGATTTCACCTGGAAATTATTTTTTACCTAGACAGAACCTATTATCTATAATTGCATGTGTTTATTAATACAGAAAATATTCTGTTACCTGAAAAAAATTACAAAGAAATGATTATTTTACTTATTTTTAATATTCTGTAGTAAAAGTGGAGGATAAAACATTATGTTCTTCAAATATATGTAGAATAATACAATATTAACTTATGGCATGAAGTATTAATGGAATTTATATAGAACATTAATTTTGTGGTATATCTATTTTTTTTTTTTTTTGAGAAAAGATTTCATTTTGTTGCGCAGGCTGAAGTGCAGTGGCATGATCACAGCTCACTGCAGACTTGACTTTCTGAGCTCAAGGGATCCTCCTGCCTCAGCCTCCCGAGTAGCTGGAACTACAGGTGCACGCCACCACACCCAGCTTAATTTTTGTATTTTTTTGTAGAGATGGGGTTTCGCCATGTTGCCCAGGCTGGTATCATCCTCCTGGGCTCAAGTGATCTGCCTGCCTTGGCTTCCCAGAGTGCTGGGATTACAGGCATGAGCCACCATGCTCAGCCTGTGGCATATATATCTTAACCAAGCCCACCTGGGAGTGCAGTGTTTTCTAGTACTAAGTGAGCTTTTGCTCCTGGTTTTCAGTTATCAAAGTAATTTGAATACTAAAACATTTTAAGCACATTTTATTTTCACTGACTTCTCATGAGTAGGGAAATAATGATCCTGCATATTGTACTCAATCTGGAATGTGGAAAAAATGATTGATTTTCTAAATTTAGGTGCTAGATATATAAATATGTATATTGTATATGTACAGTTGGCTTTCCTGTATCTGTGGGTTCTGCAGATGCAGATGCAACCAACTGTAGATAGAAAATATATATTTTTTAATTTTTTGAAATTTTTTTAAGAAAGAGAAAAGAACATTTTAAACTGCTAATTAAACAATATGGTATAACAACTATTTACATAACATTTGTATTAAGTGTTATAAGTCATCTAGAGATGATGTAAAGTATATGGGGGGATATGCATAGGTTACAGCCTCCTACACCATTTATATCAGGGAGTTGATTTTGACCTCTGCAAGGGGTCCTAAAACCAATCTCAATGGATACTTAGGGATGACTGTATTTTGTGTGTGTGTGTGTGTGTGTGTGTGTGTAATCACCAGTTGCTTAAAAGCAATTTGTTATGTGTGTTCAATATCATAACCAAGGGGAAAATGTCTCCTTGAGATAGAATGATAGTTTTAAGAGGCCATTAATTGCCACATTCTGCAAATGTGAGTGTGCTTCAACCATGGCAAATGGCATTGGCAATTATGTCAAAGGGCATGAAGTGTACTCTATAAGGAAAGCAAGATTCAATTGTAAAGGCCAAAGGGAATATTAAGGAAATGGACTCACTTAACAATTTAAAAGGCAATATGCTAAGTACCTTAATGTTGTACTTTTTGCATAAAGTTTCCCTCAAGTGGAATTAATAAAGGAAACAATGGAAACAATTCAAAGCTGAAACTGATATAAACATGAATATGATGTCTAGATTTATACAATATTCTGCACTTTTATTTAAAATTTTATGAATTGTAATTAATTTGGATTTCCAGCTTGAGAGAAATAATGATGTATGTTGAGTTTTATTTTGAACAACAAGCATTAGCCATCTCTTCAAAAGTATAAGTTTCTAAAACGGATCAATAATAGAATACTTGGTAAGTTTATATCTGACCTCAGTAGTTTACGATTTACTTTTTCATTCTCCTTCCATGCATTGATGAAAAGGCTAATAACTGGTACACTAAGGGAAGGTATTTTGTCAACCAAGGAATGAATTAGCAACAGCAAATGGCAAAAGATTAAGCCATTCTTTCTTCCATATGGGTAATACCAGAAAAGTTACAGTATTCCTTTGTAAAATTTTGTCTGTAAAAATAATCAAATATCGAGTAAAACCAATACTTTTGCCATATCTAAATATATAGAACCCAATTTTATTATTTATTCATTTTTACTTACAGAACTCACTTTTTAAATTTATTTATTAATTTTTTGAGATGAGTTCTTGCTCTGTCACCCATGCTGAAGTGCAGTGGTGTGATCACAGCTCACTGCAGCCTCAACCTCCCAGGCTCAAGCAGTCTTCCCACCTCAGCTTCCTAGTAGCTGGGTACAGGAGTACACCACCATGCCTGGATAATTTTTAACTTTTTTCATTGAGACCAGGTCTCACTATGCTGCCCAGGCTGGTCTCGAATTCGTGGGCTCAAGAAATCCTCCTGCCTCGGCCCCTGAAAGTGCTGGGATTGCAGGCATGAGCCACTACGCCCGGCCACTTTTATTAATTTTATGGCAAAAATTACACTATGGTGGAGATACTTATGTGTGTTGCCAAACCAAATAGTATTATTTGTATCCCTCTTAAGCTTCTTAGCTAAGTATCTTGTCTGATATCTTGCCATTCTTATTTTCTTTTTTGTGTGTGTTGTTCTTATCCTGCTTTAGATTTTCAGTAGATGTTTCCTCAGAAACACATCTTTTAGAACTCCATGTTACTCTGCTGTGATTTCATATCTCTCTGGTTATGGCTTCACCTTTTGTACAGCTTCTTCTTTTGGTGAAATGGTATTTCCCAATATGCTTTCTTTGTTTTCTCTTTGCATTTGACTTCCGTAGTTTTTCCACATGGACCCAGGTGTGGTTTCTCCTCTTTAACCACTAAAGGACTGTAAGCTTTTAAAATCTGTTATTATCTGTGGAGCTTTTCTCTGTGATGCTGGACAATCAAATATTGTCATGTCTCCGGCAAGGATTGTTCTAAATCTCAAATGTAATAGATCTAGATGTACTACTACCTCTTTATCTTCTGCTTTCTCACCTGGATTTTCCTGGAGGGCTTATTAGCACTTTTTTCCCCATGTTTTCCCAAAGATGTGTTCTCTGTTATATTAGGACAATTAATTGGACCCTTGCATTTTGGTGATGACAGGGATCTTCTTTCGGCTTCCAAACCTCAAGTATATTCTTTCTTCAGGGACTACTACATCTTTCTACTGGATTTTTCTCACAGGCATCATTGTGCTATTCTCTGCGTGTGTCACTTTATGTAAGTAATGATCACCTGTTTTCTTCCTATTTTTGCTCACAGACATTTTATTTGTTGTACTATTTAAAAGATCATATCCTCTGTCTTTGTAGGAAAGACCTTATTTGAGCCTCTGGACCTCAAAGGTGACTTGATTCACAATTGATTGCTCTATCTTTTATAACATTCTTATGGATTTTTTGCATGGGCTTCTCTGAAACTTCCTCTGTATAAGATATCTCTGTTTTACTGGATAGACTAGAAAATGTTTCTACTTTTACATTTATTTTATTCCTTCTTGCAGAAATGATCTTGAAGTTATAATACCTTGAATCCCCACTGTAGTAGGACCTTATCTGAAACTGTCAATAGTTTTATTTTCTGCCTCTTCGTTGCCTACATTAGTTTCACCAGACAGAGGATTAGAACCTTCCAGATTATTCCTGTTTCATTTTGGTTTGTGTGAATTTTTTCTTCTGTATTGACCAAAGATAACACCAGATAAAAATTAATATTATTTTTCTAGGTCTTAAAAACATCTTCTTTCCATTTGTAGATTTCAATTTTTGTTGCAAGTTCTTCATTGGTTTATCATTCTTTTCCATGTGTATAATCCCTGCTGAACTACCCAAATGATCAGACTCTGAAGATTTATACCAGTTTTACCTTCTTCCACCTCACTAGCCCTTTTCAATCTGCCCCCCACCCCCCATGTTACATTCACTGTCTTTTGTTTCATAGCTCCATCATCTGAGTTTTTCTCTTGGAAATTCTTCACTATATATGTATGTATATATATATATATATATATATATATATATATATATATATATATATATGTATTTGTTTTTTTTCAGACGGAGTCTCGCTTTGCTGCCCAGGCTGTAGCATAGTGGCGCAACCTCAGCTCACTGCAACCTCCACCTTCTGGGTCAAGTGATTCTCCCGCCTCAGCCTCCTGAGTAGCTGGGACTACAGGCATGCACCACCATGCCCAGCTAATATTTGTATTTTTAGTAGAGA